GGAAAATAATGTAATTAACACTTAACACTATGAGATTCATGTATATGAAATTATATGCTTATTGTTTTATCTTTTTACTTATTTGCTTATGTAGGTTGTGTTTGGTGTGGAGGAAAATATTTTTCAATTCTCATATTTAGTTGGTAGTTTTTGGAAAAATATTTTCAATAAGTTGTTTCGACAATGACTTCCTTAGTGAAACTAATCAGGAAAATAAATTCTACAAGCGACGTTCTACGTACGTATACATTCTTGTGTTCTCCCACCCATCATCCCCTACCCACACACCCTGTAGCTCCCATCCCCATCATCCACACTCCTATCCCATCCTTTTCTCACATATTATATTTATTTAGATTATATATACTTACTTTTAAAATTATATTTTTTACATACGTATCAAACATAAAAATAAATTTGAAACCTACTTATTTTTCAAGAAAATATTTTCTTTCACAAACCATCTTCTTTGAACACGCCCAAAGTCATTGGTGTTGAGAATATATATTTGTTTATAGTCGATATTATGGAATTAATTAAGATAATTGTAGGACCGCGACTACTTGAAACTTACAATGCACTTTCATATAAGTTGCAAACACAATAATGATGAAGTAATATATGTATATTTTATAATTTAGAAACAGATTCTCTATCTTCACAAGATTGAGAGCCCGTTTGGATTGGCTTAAAAGTCGGTCAAACTTACTTTTAAGTCAGTTTTTGACTTCTGGAAGTGTTTGACAAATATAAAAAAATAACTTCAAATAAGTCAAAAATGACTTAAAATAAGTTATGAAGTGTTTGACAAAGTAAAAAATGACTTAAAATAAGTCAGAAACCAAAAATAGGTCTTCTCCTACTTTTTATTTTTTGACTTAAAGTCATTTCAGTTTGACTTTTTATTTTTATCTTAAAAACTATTTTTTTTAAGTCAATCCAAACAAGCTCTGAAAAAAATATTTGTGTATATTTTAATCCTTTCAGACCCCTGCCCATTTATGAGATTACATAAAATATGTCATTTTGTAGCATATTTTGTTATATAAATAAATAGATAACTTGTAGGTCATTCAATTATAAAAAATAATTTATTAAAATCATTTATATTTGTTTTGTATTAAGAAATAACTCAAATTAAATTACTCTAGTCACAAAGTCATATAGCCAAAAAGGAGAAGGAAATTAAAAATGGAATGCTAACTTACAAACGTTTATTGAGTTCACTTGACCCTAATTTAAAATCAGTACTGATTTTTCTTGAAAAATGTAATATGATGACTATATAATTAATAATAAGGATAAGTTAGGAACTAAATGTAAAATTATTTATTGATTTCATAAAGTGGATAAGTGTTGTTGAACATTCCAAAAATAATATAGTAGACAACTATTATTGAACGGAGGGAGTGATTAGTTGTATTTTATTCGATGAACTTTTTATATATGCATATAACATTCGAATCAAAATTAACATATTTAAATAAATCCGTAACTAAAACTCTACCTCTGCGATAAATTATTGTACTTTTTAGCTGGAAGCTGCGGCGATCAGCAGACGCAAATGGGCTTCCTAATCTGCCAGCTCTAATTTTCATATATTATATTTAGTCACATGAATAATTTATAAGTACTAATTTAATCTTAAAATTATTTTCTTAATATGTCCAATTTGGCAAAGTTTGAAAATACTCTCATCATACTGGTATGTTTGTTCTAAGAAAAAAAATTGCACGATTTTCTTCAAAAGGTTCTATATGTACTATTTAGAGTGTCAATGTATCTTATGGATGACACATAGGGGTCGTTTGATAGTTGATTAATATTATACAGATATAGCAGTAATGCACAAATTAATTATGAGAAAATTTATATATTATTTTATTCAGGTATCAGTTATAACTTATACATGAGTTAGTTATTCATGTATTAGTTATTTAGTTATACGATTATTACTTATTTCATTTTCTATATATCCTGCATAAAATAATACAAATAAATTCTCTCGCAACATATATATTTATTAATTATGCGGGTTTCTGAATCGCAAATCAAACACCATATTAATTTTCTATATGAACATTACCCCCTAATTTCCAATTATCAAACATGATAATATATTTATATTGAATTTAATACATGCATAACTCACCTCCAAACCAACTATCTAACTACCCATTAATTTCCAAGACCAAATAATGTGAGACATCGTCCGCTTACTCAACAATCTCCCACTCGAATTAAGTTCTATGTAAACTATCACCTCATAGACTCATGTAGAGATTAATCATTTGTCATTCATATCAATCAAATATTTATGGATACTAAAATCACTAGTTTTTTTTTTTCATGTGTATCTCCAAAGTTATCATAGATCGGCAGGCGAAAACGACGCTAATTTGATTCTTGTGTTATTACTTTTTTATCTTCATACTCATTTTATCGAATCATTAATTCATGTTATTGTTAGGCTATACCAAAATAAAATATTTTTATAATCATGATGTGATATTATTGCATGATTAAATTATTTGAAAAGGAGTGGATAAAAATAGTTAAAGACTAATTATACAAGGATATAAGACAGGACAATGAATTATGAAAATGATTTGGCATTTTCTTTATTTATACTAAATTTTATCTTTAATTATTCATCAATCTAATCTTGTATGACTAGGAAAAAATAATTCTAAACTTTAAATTCCAATAATGCCCCCTCTTATCACTCTAGGTTTCTGTTTTATCCATGGGTAATTTCGTCAATATGTTTTAAAGCAAAAAAAACCATTGGCTTGATGCCGCATATATATGGTGTAAAGAAGATTCCTATATCAATTATCAAAAACCCTACTAAAAACCTAATTTATCTCTTTGTAGGGTATCCCACAATTTGATGTTAGGTGACAAAATTGTGAATCGATCTGAACGATTGAATGAAATTTCTTTATCCTTTTATTTTGGAATTAATAAAATTCCTTAGATAAAAAGATAATTTTTGTTAATAATTAAACATCACGTTAATTTAAATTTATCAAATCAATAAATACGGAATGTCGAGTGGTTATGTAAATGAAGTTGTTAAATGGTTAAACAAGATGGACCTAGGGGTGTACATGACCGGCTAATTGGTTCGGATTTTTCAAATATCAAATCAAACTATTTGTGTCGGATCTTTAAATCTATAAACCAAATCAAACCAATAAACTCGGGTTTTTCAACCTCGGGGTTTTTCGGATTTTCGAGTTTTTCCGGTAAAGTATTCATACAAACATATAATTTACTTGTACTTCAAAGATTTCTTTACTCCTATCAAAATACAACTATCTAAGGTGTTTTTTAAGAAAATAACACAAAATATGATATGAGTAATGACACTAAAATATCCAACAAAAAAATAATAATAATGAAATCGCGTAAAACAAATATTGCAAATTAAGAAGTCATAATGAAAATGATCATAATTTAAAAGTACTAGATCATGCTAAAATAAGTTTAATGAGTATTAGTTACATGACTAAATATTAAAGGAAATTAAAATTAGATTATGCATTTGAATTGTCTAAACCAATGTAAAACCAAAAAATAAATATTCAATATTATTGTCATTCTTAGTGTTGAATTGATTTTCTTTTTGCATTAGTATTAATTTGATTTTGATTTAAGCTTTATTATAATTACCAACATGTGTGGACTATAATTTTTATTGAACCATTCAGAATTCTAAGTTTCAAACTTGAAATAATATATTAAAAGATAAAAACTATGAAAAAGTATAAGAAATATTTAAAAATTATATCAAAGTAAATTTTTTTATGTATAAAACAAAATTTTAAATTTTTATATATAATGTCGGGTTGATTTGGTATCGGGTTGGTTTTTCTTAGTTAAAACCAAACCAACTTAAATATAGTCGGGTTTTTTTTTTCAATACTAAACCAAGTCAAACCAACCACTAGTCGAGTTTTTTTCTCGATTTATGGTTTGGTTCGGTTTTCGATTCAATTTTGTACACCCCTAGATGGACCCTCTCTTTTGGATACATATGTGGAAAAAAAAATCAAGAACCTATATTTTTTCATGAGTCAAGGATTTGAAGCAATTTGAATTTTTGATCGCGTAATATTTTTTATATTGTCAATTTTGTTTTAATAACGTAATTTACTATATTTACTTAATGTTTTAATAACGTAATTTATTGTATTTACTTGACCGAATCTACGACATGCTAGTAATATTTTTTGGGATTTCGATCGATCTCGTACGCTTACTCTTTTGACTTTTTCAATAAATAAGCGTTATGGCCCAACTCTAATAAGAAAGGAAAGGAAATAATTTTTATTTTATGATGTATTTTTACATTCAATATAATAAAATTGAATTGATAATTTAAATAGCGGGCGTGTGAATAATATTTTGATAAAGTTAAAAAAAATGAGTATCTACCACTCGTAAAAAATACTTCAGCTAGCTAGGTGCCAAACTTTTTCGTCGATGTGAGTGATCTTTTGGGGAAGATCAATTTGTCATCTCTAATTTTATTCATTGAGCGATAATCCTACCATTCGACCCAGTTGGATCACTAAGACTGACTTTTGTTCCTACTAAATTCTTGAGTCTTCCTGTCAAGCTCCTTTTTGCCTTTGCACTCTTCATCCGACAACATGAAACCTTTATACATCCTTTGATCCACACACACTTATATATTAATTTTTGATCAAAGATGTCGGATTAACCCTTTTTCGATCTTTATAACCCTATCATTAATTGAATCTCGTTCGTCGATAAATTGCATTTAAAAACCAGAAGGAGGACAATACTAGACTAGGTGAAATGTTTTAGGGAAAAAAAAAAGATAAAAATAGTAGACATGGACAGACGTGGATCCTTGCTGTTTTGTCCACTTAATTTTTATTTTTCCCCCAAAATTCTTGGTAACTATATAAAGCCATTTCCCAAATCAAATTTAGTCACATTACAAATTTATAAGCTTCTTATTCTTATATATATTTAGCTCCATTTAGAGAATTAGGATATTATTATGGTTTGAGTTATGGCTAGAAGAACAATGAGTCATCGGATTTTAATGTGCGATAAGTCGGAAATAGTGACATTTTCCGGCGACCCCGCATCGATAAATATTTCCGATACTATTTTTGGTTTTCTCAATAACGAATCATTGAAAAGTATCCGTCTCGATTTTTGTGACGAAAATGAGAATGATGATGATGATGATGAAGGCGAAGAAAAAGATGAGTCGGAAAATGTTGAAGATAATCAATTTTGGGAAACTCAACATCAGCTTTTACAAGTAAGTAATTTCAAATATTCAATTATTTTTTTTAAAAATAAAATTTTAATCACAAATTAACAAGGGGCGCAAAGAATCCCGCACATTAATCAGTAGAATGTGTGATGTGAAAAGTCTGCTCTAATGTAGTGTTTGTAATTGCTATATATCGCGGTTGAAGCTCGTAACCTATAATCACGTAGAGATAAACTTTAATGTTGCTCCGAGACTCTAGAATCGAATTAGAAATAATATAAAGGGTCTTGTTTTGAAATTTTTCTATTTCCTAGTTTTTCTCTCTTCGATTAAAAACAGTCTTCATTTCCTTGCATTTCTCCTATCCGATAATTAATTACTTAACGGCCATTTCATTAATTAATTTTTTTCGTATCTAATTTCTCCTTTTAAAATTATTTAAGTTGTTTTCAATAATAGGAAAGCTTGATTACTACGAAAAATAGAATAATAATTTGTCGGCTAAATTGAACTGATAGTATAAAGATTCTTTATATTTTTCATGCATATAACTTAAAGTCCTATTATTATGTGATGATTTTATACTGATTTTCTTACATAATTGGTGTAATTTTATAAGATACAATTTATTCTAGTTATCAATTTATGTTATTAAATAAAGCTATTTGTAATTATATTTTTAGTAATTTGATTATGTAAATATTTTTATTTCGTCAGGGTGTACTATATCGGACTACTTCCTTAGAATCACAAATCCGAAGCATTACAAAGGAGGCAATAAAAGAAGGAAATGGAATTATATGTAGTTGCCGGAGAACGCCGGATGACGGTTGCAAGACCTGCCTCATGAAGGAGGTTTGCAGCCATCTGCAAATTGCAGGGTTCAACTCTGCAATTTGCAAGTCGAAATGGAAGAACTCTCCAGATATTCCATCAGGTAACTTCTTTTTTCTTTTCTTTTTTGAAAAAATAAATTCTTTTTAGTAAAGAGTTTAAGTTATATATACCGATGAAGTATTGAAATTTTAAGCTTAAATTATATACATTTGTTAATATGTAGAAACTTTATATAGTTAGTGAAAGTATATCTATATGTCAGCATCCTTAAAATGTGAGATTTATAATCTTGAAAATAAGTTAGTAATTTGTTATAAAATGTAAAGATGACTCGATCACGTGGAAATTTCTTACACTATTAATGTGCTTAGTTTAAATAAAACCTATTATAACAAATTATTTACCACTTATTTCAAAGCTATGAAGCAACACTAAATATAAATACCTCTTCGTAATGGAAGTACGTATAGAAACTTTAATATATTTAGATTTTTCTTTAATATGATCGGAATAAAGAGTGATCTTTTATTAAGCCTTAAAGATCGATTTAAACTATCAATAATACGGAGATCTTGACCTTTGATGGAGATGAAATGATAACTTATTAAAATCTTTTAAGAATAGTGTATAAAATGACAACTTTATATCTACATCTAGAGCTTTTAACTTACTATATATTAAAATAAATAATTTTATAACTGAGAATGACATCCATATAAAAATCTCTTTTAATGTATGGTAATGAACCAATTACATAGTTTTGATATTATTAATACAGCTGGAAAATGACTTGTTTAATTTGTGGCTATCCACCAAGGACAAAATTTATGATAAGAACTTTTGAGACACATTTTTTAATTCACTCAAATATTATTTTTTATGAATATATTAAATTTTGAATAACTTTAACGATCTTATTAATCATATGCATGTTATACAGGTGAACATACATTTATAGATGTGATTGACTCATCAAATCCTAAAAAGGGAGAAGTAAGAGTTATCATAGAGCTAAATTTTCGTGCCGAATTCGAAATGGCACGAGGATGTGAAGAATACAACCGATTAGTAAAAAAATTACCAGAAGTATTTATTGGAAAAATCGAAAGATTGCTATCGTTGATCAAGATTTTGTGCGCGGCAGCCAAGAAATGTATGAAGGACAAGAAAATGCACATTGGGCCATGGCGTAAACAAAAATACATGCAAGCAAAATGGCTTAAAACCCGCGAACGTGTGGAGGCGGCCAAGTTAACATACTCATCCTCTATGGACGAGTATTCTAGTCAGCCGCCTCCACGGCCGAGGGCCTCCATGCTCACGGTCGATTTGCTGGAAAATTTCCCTAGTTTACATCTAATAACGACAGTTGAAGTAGTGTGAAATTTTGAAAGAGAAGCATTATTATTAGTATATAAGTTATATTAATTGATGTATACAATTGGGAAAAAAAATATATACTATAATTGTATTTTGTTCTTTTTCTTTAGGCTTTTGGGGGTTGGAGAGTTTTTTTTTTTTTTTTTGAGAGAGTTTGAGGTTATTGCTAAAATTTTAATTTGCTCCTCTTTAATTAAATAATTACCTTGTTTTCTATTTAAGGAATAAATCACATAATATTATTGGCAGGATACTATTTTACCACTTGACCACTAGTGTTTGGTGTTTGTTTTATACAAAAGTTTGATTTTCTAAAATAAAAATAGTGCTCGAATGAATAAGATTTCTCCGCTTTTTAATTAAAGTTTTTGGATACAAGCCTAAAATATGATAAAAATCATGATGGGAGCACTTTCCCTTTGAATGAGCCTTACACTGTACAAATTTAAAGTAATTAATAAGACTTCAACATATATAGATATCAAACGGCAAGTGAAAGAACAAAAAAAGAAGAAGAGGAAAGTGGTAGGTAAGATAAGTTTTCAAGCTTAATTAGCTTTTGAAACACCATAATCAATGTGGCAAGTTTGATCAACTTTTCATTAATTTTGAGTTTTTTTTTTTATAAATAATAATTCATATGAGCAAAGCAAAATGATTAAAAAGGCCTTTAAACATAATTTAAGGTTTTATTAGGATAGTCTAAACGGAAAATATAGTGTACAACCGACTAGAAGTAGGGTGGGATGGATGAAATTATCTTTATCATTAATTAGAAAGATTTCGAATTTTGAGTCATAAGATTAGAAAAACCTCACACAAGAAGCGTTTGTCTCTCTTGTTAGCCCGCCTTACACAAGGGATGAATTTGATTTAGTCGGATCATAAATTTGGACACAATGGGATGAATTTGGTGTAGTCGGATCATAAATTTGGACACAACGGGATGAATTTGGTTTAGTTGGATCATAAATTTGGACACAACGGGATGAATTTCGTGTAGTCGGATCATAAATTTGGACACAACAGGATGAATTTAGTTTAGTCGGATCATAAATTTGGAGAAAAAAAATGCGGTGAACGTGGATCGAACACGTGACCTTCAGATCTTCAGTCTGACGCTCTCCCAACTGAGCTATCCCCGCAAGTGTTCACATTATGGTATATTTTCTTAGTTAAATTAAGTTTTCTGTTACTTTTTTTTGCATATGAAAAAAAGAAAACTAATACAGTAATCATTTTGATTTTACATATCTACATCAAACATATCATTTTAAGCAAACAGAAATCCTTGCCGTTTATAAAAGATTCATTAATCGAGAAGTTATAGATTATGAGCGGATTTAAAATTATCATGGAGCTCTTGAAGTAATATTGATCGCACACGATTTAGTTGTTACGTATGAAAATTATGTGTTAATCCACTATATGTGTGAGAGCTAGTTGAAAGAAAATTGATTTCATTTATTTTTGTGTATCAACTCGAATTCAATGTGTATTTTGATTTTCCTTGCTACGTAGTAAACAATAAATTGAATTATATAGTTGATTAGTTTAATTATTACCCCTAGAAAAATAAAATAAAATTGGAGCGAGATGGAAAAAATCACACAATAAATTTAAATTAATCGGGTCATATACTAGATTGTAATAGCCAACAAAAACAATGCGAATTAATCGGGTCATATACTAGATTATTAGTAATAGCCAACAAGAAAAATAAAATAAAATTGGAGCGAGATGGAAAAAATCACACAATAAATTTAAATTAATCGAGTCATATACTAGATTGTAATAGCCAACAAAAACAATGCGAATTAATCGGGTCGATTATTAGTAATAGCCAACAAAAACAATGCGGTGAACGTGGATCGAACACGTGACCTTCAGATCTTCAGTCTGACGCTCTCCCAACTGAGCTATCCCCGCAAGTGATAACAATTTTATTATGAGTATATAACATTTTGATCCAACTCCATAAAATTTGTTTGTTTACAAAGCATTACCAATATTGACAACAAGAATTCTATGTATTAGTAGTTACTAAACAGAATGTGATGACAACCCAACCCAAAACTGGCCTACTATGATGGTCTGAACCGAGGATTTATCAAAAACAACTTTTTTTTCGTCTCAAAGTAAGGAATAAGATTATGTACACATTACCCACTTTTTATCGTTTAGTTGCTTTTATCTTGTGAATGACATAGATATGAAAAATATTGGTTACAACTTACAATCAATCAACAAGTTGAGAGCATTTATTATGTGACTTATTTATCATTGTATTAACAACTCTAGCAAATAACCACTTTTTAGTCCTTATAATTGAAATACAATCATAATAAGTCTCAAATTCCACCAAGACATTAGTTTTCGCCTTCGCCTGTGGAATTTGAAACTCCCTGACAGTGGCTATTTTTCAAAAGCTATCATTACGCTTCTAAAAATGCCAAGAGTAACACAATGAAATTTTCTTTTTTTTGATCAGGTAAACAGTTTCATTAATCACAAATTCACAACGCCGAAATCGGCTGTATACATTAAAGTAAAATAATGTTAACAATCATAGATAACAAGAAAGTACAGGATTGTTCTTGTGAAGAATCTTGATTGGGAACAAGGATATGAAACCAATGAAGGAAAAAGATAGCAATCAAACTCAAACATCCACAAGTCACTTGTCAGCTCGCGTGCATCTCGACTGATATTTGCTACCTCGTACTAACACATGTATTGTGCAACTCTATCCAAAAAAGCTGCTTGGACAGTGAAAAGAAATCGCCTAGTGCTTTTTTGCCTCTTGAGCATGAGATCTCATCATTCTTAATCCAACATCCCTGACTTCTAAGCCACACTCATGGGTGTTTCATGAGTTATAAATATCGAGCCAACCACGACAACTCCTTGCTGTCTTTAAGGGCAAATGAAACATCATCACTGCAACAAAAACGCAACGAATCAGGACAAAAGCAACCATTGCAAGAGTCTGACACTTGCCAAGTGCTGAAAGGTCGGAAGGTGAAGTAAAACTCTCTTCATTTTAGAAACTCTAAGTGAAGGTTTCATCCTAACAAGGTTGAGGTATTGACGAATTAAAACAAATAAAACATGGGTATTTACAACAATACACAATAATCTCTTCAAAATGCCAACAATTCAAGAGTTTATATGATGTACTTTAAACTACCAACACTTCAAAATATATATAAGATCATTAGTAGAATGACAGAGTTTTACTTCAAACATATGATCTATGACCCTTCGGGGTGGCCCAGTGGTTTGGGCTTGAGACTTCCATGTTGGAGGTCTCAAGTTTGAAACCCCTTGCTAGCAAAAGCAAGGGGTTTGCCTTTTGGGTCGAGCTCGTCGCACCAGGCTTGCCTAGTGCGGGTTACCTCTCCTATGTGGTTTGCGAGCTATTGCATAGGAGCGGGGGTTTTACCCTGTGCACACCCAAAGGGTAGCGGCTGCGGGTTTCCCTTGTCATAAAAAAAAATAAAATATGATCTATGGAAAGAGTAACAAATTATTCATCCTTCGTATCCTCTCCGAAACATTTCTTTCCTAATAAAAAAACCATCCATAGTCTTAATGTTGAAGATTGTAGTATATAAATAGAAGTATAAGCTTTCGTAAGATGATTCACACAATTAAGATCTTGAATTCAAGTCTTGTAAATCATATATAACCAAAATGCTTAAGCCCCCAAAGAAGAATCAGGCATGCGGTTGAAAACCATAAGTAGGGTTATTCCTTGTACTGAAAGCATTTTAATGGCGGGTCACACAATTCAACGCTTAATAATGCTGATGAACAGAAGTATAAGCTTTCGTAAGATGATTCACACAATTAAAATCTTGAATTCAAGTCTTGTAATCATATATAACCAAAATGCTTAAGCCCCCAAAGAAGAATCAGGCACGCGCTGAAAACCATAAGTAGGGTTATTCCTTATAAAGAAAAGCATTTTAATGGCAGGTCACACAATTCAACGCTTAATAATGCTGATGAACCCCAATCCAACTTAGCGGCACTTTCGCTAAACAAGGAAAGCATGGATGAACAAATTAACCAGTTAGAAATCTCATTCGTCAAAAGGATGAGTTTCTTTCTAAATATCTTGACCGATGGATTTTTGAGAGTATCATAAAAAAGTTACCCCAACTTGTTTGGAGCTGAGGTGTAGTTGTTGTCTTATCAGTAAAAAGTTGTTATTGCTAGGACCTCTTTGGGCACACATGATTATGTAAATTTGATTATTTGGGATTAGATTCTACACCGGCATTTTAGTTAAAAGAGAAAATTCAGTTATAAGGTTTGTCACATACAGCTGAGGAATAATAAAGAAACTTACCTTGGAAAATTGAGCTGTAACTTTTGCAGTTTATGCTTCACTCCAGGTTCACATAGAAGTATTCTGCATTCACCAAGCTTGCATCTACCACCAAACAAAATAAATGAAGGATAATTAACAAAGTGAACAAGAATTTCCACACACGTGCCGACATTTTTGAAGAGTCCGAGCAACATTTATTTCCAGTCACCATTCACTGGCATCAACTTGCTATCCATATCAACAATTACATCTACTTCACAACATTATGAGAACAGGACATCAAAACACAGAACTAATTTGTTACGATGACAGCCTAGTGTTGTCAAAGTTGCGCTTAAGCCCTAAAAAACAAGGCCCAAAACGTGTTGAGTGCCGCCATGCTTAATGTGCGCTTCAGTCTCGTCATCGAGATTCTAAGTCATACTTTTCCTTGCCAATGAGCCTCTTCTGAAGAGCCGATACTAAACAATTGAAATATCACTTTATTGTAAAAAAAATAAATCAATTTCTTTGTTCATATGTGTGTCATTCATGCTTATAATTATTGGTCTTAGACTAAATATGTATATATATATATATATATATATATTTGTATTTTTTTCTCCCTTAGCGCCTTTTTTCATTAAAGCCCACGATTTATTTGCACATAAAGCCCCAACGGACCTTAGAGCTTTTTTGCTTTTGATAACACTGCAAGCCTCTGTCAAGGTTAGGAAA